CAGAACGGGGCAAGCAGGAGGCCTGTGTGAGGGTGGTGGGTGGGTGGGAGCGTATTTTTTAGTCGACTCAGAAACAAACAGGAGGTTTGTGTGAAGGTGGTGGTAGGGTGCGACGAGTGGGAGTGTGATGATGAGCGCCACTGCTCCCAGCACCTGCGGGTGAAAGGGGTAGAAGGGTGGGGACGAGCAGAAGTCTGTGTGTGAATTGACGTGGTGGTTGGAGCGAGGAGAGGTGCAGTGTCATAAGGAGACGAAGGAGGGTGGCTGGTGGTAGGGCGCGACGAGGGGGAGAGTGATGATGAGCGGCACTGCTCCCAGCACCTGGAGAGGTGGGAGAGGTGAGGGGTTAGGGAGGTTGGTGGGGGGCACAGACAGAGCACGTGGGTGTGGGTGGGTGAGTGGCTGGTGGTTGGGCGTCATGCGGGGGTGAGTGGTGATGAGCGCCAGTGCTCCCAGCACCTGGAAGGGAGGAAGGCGGGAATAAACAAGGGGAAACAGGTATAGCGGGGGGATAGGACAGAGGTGCGTGTGTGAACTGACTGGGTAATAGGAAGCGAAGAGAGGCAGCGTGACGCTGGAATGCATTGCTCCTAAAATGTCTTTTGAGGCGCCTCAAAAGCAGTGTGACGCTGGAAAGCATTGCTCCTAGCATGTAGAGGATTAAAGGGTGAATGGGTGGGTGGGTGGGCGAGTGGGCAGGTGTGTGGGTGATTAGGGGTCACGAGATGGGAGCAGAGGAAGGAAAGGAAGGGATAGTAGGGTGAGGAGGGAGGAGAGGAGGTAAGATGGTAGGACTGACCTGGATGCACGCGGAGATGAGCATGAGGTATGAGACAATGCGGATGGAGGAGGAGGGACTGAGAAGAGAGATGTACGAGCACAATGATCACTCGAGAGGGGAGAGTTTTGTTGGTTGGGAATGGGAAGAGAGGACCAACCTGGATGCACGCTGAGATGAGCATGAGGTATGAGACAATGCGGATGGAGGAGGAGGGACTGAGAAGAGAGATGTACGAGCACAATGATCACTCGAGAGGGGAGAGTTTTGTTGGTTGGGAATGGGAAGAGAGGACCAACCTGGATGCACGCTGAGATGAGCATGAGGTATGAGACAATGCGGATGGAGGAGGAGGGACTGAGAAGAGAGATGTACGAGCACAATGATCACTCGAGAGCGGAGAGTTTTGTTGGTTGGGAATGGGAAGAGAGGACCAACCTGGATGCACGCTGAGAAGAGCATGACGTATGAGACAATGCGGATGGAGGAGGAGGGACTGAGAAGAGAGATGTACGAGCACAATGATCACTCGAGAGGGGAGAGTTTTGTTGGTTGGGAATGGGAAGAGAGGACCAACCTGGATGCACGCTGAGAAGAGCATGACGTATGAGACAATGCGGATGGAGGAGGAGGGACTGAGAAGAGAGATGTACGAGCACAATGATCACTCGAGAGCGGAGAGTTTTGTTGGTTGGGAATGGGAAGAGAGGACCAACCTGGATGCACGCTGAGAAGAGCATGACGTATGAGACAATGCGGATGGAGGAGGAGGGACTGAGAAGAGAGATGTACGAGCACAATGATCACTCGAGAGCGGAGAGTTTTGTTGATTGGGAATGGGAAGAGAGGACCAACCTGGATGCACGCTGAGAAGAGCATGACGTATGAGACAATGCGGATGGAGGAGGAGGGACTGAGAAGAGAGATGTACGAGCACGATCACTCGAGAGCGGAGAGTTTTGTTGATTGGGAATGGGAAGAGAGGACTGACCTGGATGCACGCTGAGAAGAGCATGACGTAGGAGACGATGCGGATGGATGCAGGACCATTTGATGAGGCAGCAGATGAGCACGACAAGAGGGAAGAGAGGAGAGGACTGACACAGAATGATGCTGAGAAGAGAGAACGGACCTGGATGCACGCTGAGAAGAGCATGACGTAGGAGACGATCCGGATGGAGGAGGAGATACTAGAGTGGGAAAGCAAAAGAGAACCATTCCCAAGAGTGGAAAAGGTGTTGGTGACGGATTGACTGAGAGGACTGACCTGGATGCAGGCGGAGAAGAGCATGACGTAGGAGACGATGCGGATGGAGCAGCAGTTGATGAGAGCAGCTCACCCCAACCACAACAGGGTAGGGAGGACTGACAAAGAAGACTGACTGAAAAGAAGACTGACTGACCTGGATGCAGGCGGAGAAGAGCATGACGTATGAGACAATGCGGATGGAGCAGCAGTTGATGAGGCAGCAGATGAGCACGACCCCACATGCGATGCCAAACACCTCGTAGTGATCCAACATGAAGCCGTCCCCGTTCGCACCACCTGGAGCACAGATACGCAGCAGCAGAGGACAGCCATGCAGTACAGAGAGTACGAGAATCTAATGAGTCAGCAGGTGAGATGAGCACCACCCCGCATGCGATGCCAAACACCTCGTAGTGATCCAGCATGAACCCATCCCCGTTCGCGCCGCCTGGCATTATACATACCTGTGCTGATAAGAATTAGCACTTGAAGGATGGTGACGCCGTAGTAAGCCACCATGGCCTCGCCCACCGCGAGCCCCACAAACTCCATCCATGCCTGCATGGGGTCATGATGCATGGGATTGGGGCATAAAGTGTGTTAGTAATATTACATGGATGGATGCACGACACCATGGCATGGCCCACCGCGAGCCCCACAAACTCCATCCATGCCTGCATGCATGATGCATGGGGTCATGATGCATGGTAGACATGAGCAATTCATGATGCATGTATGATGCATGGTGATATGTTGACATGGTGCATGGTGATGGGGACACTCATGGGATACCCATAAGACATTCGTGAAACACCTCTCTGAAGTGAAGCAAGCAGTAACTGAATCGAAACAAATTGCATGTCACTGTGAATCAAATCAGATCGCATCTCACCGTGATGAATGAGGCCAGTGGGCCCCACTTCGGCCCCGCCAGTGCTGCCGCCCAGAAATAGAGCGAGCCAGCTGTCTGTACATTGGAGTGGGGGAGAAAGGAAGGGGGGGAAGGTGTGGAGAGATGAGGGGCGAGGGCGGAGAGGAGATTTGCCATGTCCGAAGAAGCAGCCTCCTTGCTGAATCTGCTTCTTTGGAATTCTCAAAAAGGACAGGGTTTGGGGGGGGGAGGAGGGAAGGAAAGAGTTTGGAAGAATTGAGTGGAAGAACAGGAGAATGAGGTGGATGGGTTTGGGTTTGGGAGAGTACGGAGGAGGGTTGGGGGAGAGTGTGACGGAGTAGAAGCATAATGGTTTGATGCGATGGGGAAGGGTAAGGCTGGAAAGGCGGGAGGAGGAAGGCTGGGGGGAGAAGATGGGAGGGACGATACCAGATGTTGCTGGTGAAGGGTCAGGGTCATCAGGTATTGGAAAGAGAGAATCTATTAACACCGGTTTCCACCGCTTTCAACCGTTCTCTTCCACTTACTGGGAAGGAGGAGGAGATTTCAGCCATGCTGAGAGCGATGAGGTGCACTGCTACAGCTGTGATCCACCAGTACCAGATCAGCCCTGCTGGGCCTCCGTCATTAAAGCCTTGTCTGTTGGTGTCGTGTAGGGGAGGGTGTTTGAAGCGAATAGAAAATGGGTGCAAAGAGGTGCAATGAATGAGGTACCATGCTGAGAGCAATGATGTGAACCGCAACAGCGGTGATCCACCAGTACCAGATGAGCCCTGCTGGGCCTCCATCGTGAAAGCTTTTCGTGCATTGCACTTCAGTGAGAGGTGGGGGTGAGAAGATATGATGGGGTGATGGGGAAGAAGGGTGCGAGGAGGAGAGAGTGGGAGAGGTGGGGGGGGAGTGGAAGGAGCAAAGGGGGGAACAGTAAGAGGCACTGTGAGGGATGATTTGGAAATGAGAGAGAGGGGGGAATTGATGGTTGGGAGGAGGATGGGAAGGGGGACGTGAGAGGTGGAGGTGTGAAGGGGGAGGTGAGGTGGGGAGATGGGAGGGGGAGATAAGAGGGGGGAGATGAGAGGGGGGAGATGCAGAGGGGGAAGATGAGAGGTGGGAGAAAACAGGGGGAAAGATAATAGTGGGGCGATAAGAGGGGGATGAGTGGTAAAAGGTCGGGGACGAAACGCATTGAGTTAAAGCCACAAGCATGTAGTCGCTGCAGGGGGGTAATATAAGAGTTACACTTGGCTATAAGTGTGATAAAGAGCTACACTTAAAGCTCAAAGCCCAAATTGCGGAGCACTCGGGGCAAGCTTAGTAATGTTGATGGGAGTGGTGTTTTGAGTGTTGTTTGGGTTGCGAAATGGGGTTACAAGAAGGGCGATGCGATTTGATTGGCCAACACTTTTTTGTCGAATAGGAGAGCAGGAACACCAATAATATTGTGAGTTCAATTTGGGACTCTCGGTCCCCAACCCCAGAGCGCCCCTTGAAGTTTGCTGACTCAGCGAAACAAAGACAAGCTCAGCAAAATCATTCCCCCCAACCTCCCAACACCTTCCTCGAATTTGAGTTCACCACCCCCACCCTAGAGGACTCAACCTTGCCCAAGATTAGTAATCTTGTGCAATTTGGGCCTTGAGCTTTAAGTAGCAAGTACCCGAGTGATAACGTGGACAGTAGCTACTCGTACAAGGGGACAAGGAACAGTACTTACGCACACATTGGTATAAGGCACTACTAAAGCGTATACGGGCTTACGCATATATGTTTACAAGGGGCACTACCAAAGTGTATATGGGCTTTAAGGAACAGTACTTACGCATACATGGGGACCACCCCTGCGAACACGCTCATCATGCTGATACCCGTCGCGTACAGCTGCGGAAAATGCTGTTTGCAGAAAAAACAACGAAACAAACCGGGGAATGAAATGGATAACGAATTACTCAAAAGTGGAGGTAACGTGCGTCGAAATTATGCCCATGGTAGGTCGCTTTGGAAGCACAAGTGAACAACGCTGAGCAGTTCTAGATAAACTTGCAGGGTACAAGTAAACGGCCCTAAACTCGAAACCTTGTTCTCTACGTGCGCCACTTATCAGGGGACGCTTTTAAGGGATATGAGGGGGAGGTTGGGTGGGTGGGAGGCACAATGGGAGGGAGGAAAGGTTTCCGAGCCTGTGGGTTTTCGCTCCGCTTACCAGAGAAAGGTTTCCGAGCCTCTTAACCCCCCCTAGCCTCAGAATGCGCCGCTCACCAGGTGATGATTCAGTTTCTGCCGGTAAACAAGCTCGTCGAGCCGCCTTGACTTAAGCAGTTTGCAAGACGCTTCAATAAGCGATTCTTCTACCAGGGAACACCTACGAACGAAACACGTACAAACGGAACACCTACCAAAGAACGCTTCAGCTCCTGCCGGTAACCAAGCTCGTTCAGCCGCCGTTCGCCTGAGTCGAGCGCGAGCGACATGGTAACCCCATCCTCCATCGTGATTTCGAGAATCTTCTGCTCTTCGCCGATATCCTCGTCGTGCCGCTCGATCATCGCCACCACCGCGGCGCCTTGAAACGCGGACGCCTCCGAGTACAGCTGCATCTCCTCGCGATGCATCGCGCCGCCATCGCCGCCGCCGCCGTCCGCGGCGCTTCCGTTCTCCTCCACCGAGCCGTCGCCGCCGCCGTGCTCCTCGTATTCCTCCGCCGCGCCCATGTTTGAAAGCGCGCCGCGAGAGAGAGCGAACTCTTGGGCAGGCTTCGTGTGTTAGCAGACGTTTATACGCGTCGCGCGCAGGGCCGGAAAACGTTGGCTCGAACCTAAAAAGGTCACGGGAGGGGGAGGGAGAAGGGAAGGAGGGAGGGAGGGGGGGGGAGAGGGAGGGGGGAGGAGGGGAGGAGGCGGGTGGAGGGGGGGGGGAAGGAGCGGGGGGAAGGGGTGGGGGGGGTGGACGCAAGGACGCACGGACGGACGGGATGAACGAGGCGGAGAGGAATGGACGGATGTGGGAGACTTCTTTCTCTATGAATAGCGGTTTGGTTCTTTAGCGGCTGAGCTTGGAGCTGTAAATGAGGAGCTGGAAACGACTGGGGCGTGGAGGCAATGCGATATAAGTGAAAATTTGAGACGTCTAAAAAAATCACTTCTATCGCGTGGAGGCAATGCAGGCGCGCTGGGAACGGCTGGCACGCGGCGCGTGCTGCTACGTGCAACGTGCAATGCACTGAGCAATGTTGTACGTGCAATGAGCTGAGCAATGTTTTACGTGCAATGCGCTGCGGCGGATTGCACGTTGCACGGATGATGCCTATGCGTCGAAGAAACGACGCAAAAAAGTCGGCGGCCTCGGTCTGTCAGGCATTCTGCGCATGATTTAGGTACCCCTTGAAGTCGCTGTCGATTTTTGAGCCGACTCAAAACGGAAGTGACTTTAGAGCCGACACGAAGGTCACCCCATTCTGCGCATCATGACTTGCTCATACGTACCTGCTCTTGAAACGACTTCAGAAAGGAAAATATTATAGAGCTACTCTTATCGAGGCTTTCTGGATTCGCGCCACGAGCTCCCACTACGGACTCTATCGGAATCTAGGAGGATTTACGCACGACGTGGATAGAATGGGAGCTTTTGAGCAGCCGATCTCTGAGGGACACAGCAGTTCTACAAATATAGAGCAAGGGAAGGGGAGGAACGGCATGAAGGTCGGTGAAAAAGAAGCGATGAGTTGAGACTGACAAGGCTGGGTGGGACCGAGAGAGGTCCTGGGTGGGAGGTAGTTACTGTACTGTAACTGCAATGGACGATGATGATATGCAAACGTGCACCCTGAGGCCATGGCGAGTGTGGGCTGGGTTTGCGGGTGCGACTCGACTCGACTCAAGCGAGACAGGCTGGAAGGGCCATCATGAGGAGCGACCCTCCCTCCCTGATGGGACTTGAGCGGGAAAGACTATTGGAAGATATTTACTGTTTCAAAGAATACAACTTGCCCCATTGATTGAGAATATTACAAATTTCAAGGGTAGTTAACTTCCCGCCGTCTCTGAAATTTAATCTTCATACAAAACATTTGAGTGGGCATGGCTAAAGCTAAATTCACATGTGATGGAAGCTGTCGGAGGTTTTGGAAGCCATCTGTTGAATTTGTAGGTTCGAAAGGGAAACGGCTCAGAAAAACTACATGCGCATAGAAAATGCGCAGATTTGAAGTCATACGATTTTATTATGCGCAGTTTACACGAGGCAGGCAAACAGCTACAATGAGCTGGCGAAAACAACGTTGGCAAGTGGGGAAGAAGGGAAGGCTGCCCATTTGTTCTCCACGGAACATATATTAGCTGCGAAGAAGAACGAGGAAGTGCGAGAAGTGGTTGCGAAAAACGAGTTGACCGTGAGACAGTTCTTTCCCCAATGGGGATACAGTACAAGAGCTCGTTAGATGGAGACTGGGTAACAAGGGCTGGCTGGGTGGTTTGGAAGTCAGGTTCGGAAAGGATGCGAACCACGCTCACGAACATATTTGCGACGAAATAGTGTCGCCTGGCAAAATAGGGGTGACGGAAATTATCATTAGGCAGCGTGACTATCACCCTAAGAGCGAAAAAGTTTCTCCTACTTGCGTTCTCCACCACGTGTGGTGCACCACCAATGTTCCCGCATAAACTTACTTAGCTCACCTTAGGACATGAAGCTTACCTTAGAAACGGTCCCCTGCCGCGGATTCGAGTGTGTCGGAGGCGCGAAATGCGGATGTGCAGCACGGAGAGAGTGTGCGGCGTCGAGTAGTACCAACAATGCACGGAGATCTTAGATTCCCCTCCTATCACGCGACCCGTCGACCTCGCAGTTCCCATTCCCGTCACCCGCGACTTCTCCTCCCGTCGCCCGCAATTCTTATTCATGTCTCCGTACAATCCGCTTGCTGTCGCCTTCAACTACCCTTCCCGACGCCGTCAAATCGCCTTCCGGTCGTCCGCACTTTCCTTCCCGTCGCCGCCACTACCTCGTCTAGTCGCCCACACCCACTTCCCCGTCCCGCCGCCATCACTTCCCGTCGTGTCGCCCTCACTTCCCCGTCGTGTCGCTCTCACTTCCCCGTCGCGTCGCCCTCACTTCCCCGTCGCGTCGCCATCACTTCCCCGTCGCGTCGCCCTCACTTCCCCGTCGCGTCGCCTTCACTTCCCCGTCGCGTCGCCCTCACTTCCCCGTCGCGTCGCCCTCACTTCCGTCTTCCCATCTCCCTCACTTCCCCTTCCCGTCCCTTCAACTCCCCGCTCCCCTCGTCCACAAATCACCTATCCGAAGCCTCACTTCCCGTTTTGAGACGTCTCAAAACTCAATCACCTATCTGAAGCCCTCACTTCCCGTTCCCAAAGCCCGTTTCCCCCCTGCCTCCCATCCGTTTCCCCCCTGCCTCCACTCGCTTTCCCCCCTGCCTCCACTCACTCACTTCCCGTTCCCAAAGCCCGTTTCCCCCCTGCTTCCCATCCGTTTCCCCCCTGCCTCCCATCCGTTTCCCCTTCTCCTCCCATCCGTTTCCGCCCTGCCTCCATTCACTATCTCCCCCCTTCCTCCTTTCCGATTCCCCCCTTCCTCCCTTCAGTTTCCCCTCTTACTCCTTTCCGTTTCCCCCCTGCCTCCCTCCGATTTCCCCCCTTCATTGCCCTCACTTCTTTCTCCCACCGTCTCCTTTCCCTTCGCACACTGCTGTTTCCGTTTTGGAGACCACTCAATCCCCCTTCACTAACCCAATTTTTCCCCTGCTCGGCTCACTCTTTCCCCCTCCCCGATTTCTTTCCTGCTCTGCTCATTCTTTCTCCCTTCACTCACCCAAATGCTCCCCTGCTTCCTCTCTTTCTCCCCCCTCCTCACTCTCTCCCCTTTTTCTCATCCCAGTTCCCCCCTTCTCCCTCTCTTTGCCTTTTTTCTCACCCATCTTCCCCTCCACCTTACTCTCTTTCCCCTTTGTGCACCCCTTTCCCCCCACTCGCTCTCTTTCCCATTTCACTCACACCCTTCCCCCCATTCCACCCCCTTTTCTCACCCCTCTTGTTGCTCTGCTTACATTCACCTTTGCCCATCCCTTAGCGCTGTCTCTTCCCATACCCTTCTGTACGCTTCACCCGTCACTACTTCCGTCACATTTCCCCCCCAATTTCCATTCAGTCCATATTTCAAGATTAGAGTGTGTACATATAAACCAGGTGTTACCACGGGTCCCTGGTCCATTGCATGCAGTGCAGCGGACAGGAGTGGGAATCATTGACAATAGTAAATAGTTTGACTTCTTCTGTTGTACATCAGGGTTCAAATTAGATTGTCGTACAGCATTCAAATCACGAAGTTACTACATGTTTGTTACAGTGCATTGCGTCCAAACACAACACGGTGATTGGACATGAATTGGTGAATTGGTGACCTCTGAAGTAAATCAGCACGGTAGATACAGCTATCCTTTCTGGATTACCATATAAACATATACCGTAGAAGGCCACTGGCCAACATAATCAACTCAACAACACCCTCCTAGCATTCCCCTATACCCCTCAATCCCTCCCCAATAATCTCCCCCCTCCCTCCCCCCTCCCTCCCCCCTCCTCTCCTTCCTCCCTCACCATCTGTCCCCAGCGCCCAACTCCCATACTCAATTCTCATTCTATCTAGCCTGCATCTGCACACATTAATCTTCCCGCCAACTCATAGTCATAGACCACCACTTCAACCCAATAGACGCCCCCTGCGCCCTGCCCGTATTCACCAGACATTCATGGGTATAGGGACCGTTGAGATTCCGTGCACCTGAATGTGCTTCGTCAGGCTCATGTTCGCCTGGTTCAGTGGGCCAAACGACTTAGCTCCAGGGGCTTTGAAGTAGCATTCCTTTTTGGCGTAAGCATTCATCTTCACCAACTTTTGGCCCATGTTCATTGTGCGGAACTGCCACATCGGCACTGTAGCAAGCAGCCGATCTTTGCTGAACATCCCCTTTATGATCAGATTCTTCATTATCCGAAGGCGCTGCGTCGGAGTGTACGCCTCCCATTTCTTTTTCATGAACTGATTGCCGATGTTGGCCGGAATGAGGATAGTGGAAGGGCCGTCGAGGGTGATGAGCTTGTACCTTGCTGCACGCGCAACCAAAGAGCGACGAAAAAGGATTAGGTTAAAGTGACGCAACAGAGCGTGTCGATTTAAGCTAGAATGATGTTCTCGTTTCCTCCGCAAAAAGAAAAAATGATATCGCGAAAGAGCGCGTGCACGTGATCAAGCCTTGAGCGTCTGGGATCTCAACCGGGAGCGTATACATTTACTGGATTCAACGCAATAAAAGTTTTGCACAGGAGGCCGGAGCAACGGATCTTTTCATTTCGCGGTCAAGCTCACCTGCGGTGTAAAATCGTTCGGCGAAAACAGTATGAAATTTGTAAGTTTTATTGAGGTCTTTGAGCGCCGCTACGAGCTCCCATTGCGGAACGCCAGTGGTCTTCTTTGGCGCCTTAGGGGTTTGTTTCCGCGCTTCAACGCCCCTCACGGCGTGAGGGCTCGGCGCGAGAAGCACTGTCGAGACGAGCAGAACTACGACAACAAATGCTCTCGAACACGTGCACGGTTCTGACATGCTGCGCGGCTTTGGAGTTAAGAAAAAACGGTTCTATAACTAGTATTACCGGATCGACTTCGGGCTCCGCGAAGTTATGCTTGTCGCACAAATTCTGGGACTCTCAAAAGGATCGTGAAACTCTGCCGAGCTTCAAGCATCGAAGACGATGACTGTGAACATAAGATGCACCTTAGTCCGCGGTATTTTAACCGCCGCTATCTTAACCGCGCGAGGGTACTTCTCCTTGGTCAAACTTTTTTATACGAGTAGTTTTGAAGTTTATTGAGGGTAGAATATAGCATACCCTTTGTGAGGCGACGGCAGTCAAAACATGGTCAATGCCGATCCGCCCTCTATTTCGGAGCACTAAGTGTGAGTTTCTTTAGAAGTAAATGCTTCTGGCTGCGAAACAATAGTCTTAAAGTCTCTGGGTGCCCATCTCATTACCCGAAAATGAACAAAGGGTGTTTGAAGCAAAACAGTTTACGTGGTTAAAATACCGCGGACTAGGTGTAATGAGGCATGGTGCTGCTGCTGAATGTCGAAAGGAAGGACGAAGGGGAGGGATGGAGATGAATCAACACCACGACAGCAACGAAGAGAACGTGGTGATAGGTTGGATAAAGAAGAACGCTCCGCGCTGTGGGCTGATTGGGCAGTCTCGGGATTTTTCGAGCCTCGGAGTTGAGTTGTACAGTAACCCTCTTTGCCCAACCTGACCTCACATTTCGAGGCACCTCGCTTGGTGGGCACGGTCGACGGTGAACTTCAGTTGGGGGTTGTGGAAAGTAAACTACCCTGTGAATTGAGAGATCGAGAGAGGAAAAGAGTTCAAAAAAACACAGTATGGAATAGCCGCTTGGCTTGTCTCAAATGTCTACCATTCCAACCTACACTTTTGAGGCAATATGCAACAAAATGGTCCAATCATAGCAATTTGTTTTCCTTCCACATGCCCAACGCTCACTACATCCTGCCATCCTCTGTTCCCCGTTACGAACTCATTAATGCAAAATCGGATCAAGGATTTCGCCTAAAGATGCAACGGAATCCACAGTCCCAAAACGCTTAACCTGGATATGGCATAATCAAAAGCCTCCTGACTTTTCTGGGATACGTATGGAAAGCATCTTGCAAAAGTCCTTGAGAGACTCACAAAACAACACTTTGGCTTGGACGAGCCATGCAATTTCGGAGGAATCTGCTTGGCGCACGTGCCAAAATAAAGGAAGAGCCTGCCTGGCACTTGCACGAATGACCACAAGGGCGACGGGCAGGATGCAAAGATCGGCGGAAGCCAATTGGCACGGAGAAATTTCTGGTTGGGTTGGGAGATCTATCGGCCTGTTCGGCACAGGGAGGCCCACTACAAGAACGACGGTTCTATCCTCACACTATACACAGAATTATATACACCTCTTACGGCATGAAGCTATGACAATATGAGTTCTGGCAAACATGCAATTTCCATACAGATGTTGCATGTTGAGGCTTCAGATATTTCTTAGATGTCGCCCTCAAGAAGCTCTGACTGAGGCACTCCTTTGCATGCGATTCTAGGGTCTTCTCTGCATGTAACAACGTCGCACAATCTGAACATTGAATAATGAAACGCGACTGTTACAAATTAATCTCTGATAGTAAACCATTCATGCATTCGTTTACATCTCTTAGTACGGGGTACCTGCAATCTGGGAGCTGATATAAATCAGTTTTCTGGCATGTTACCATACATGCACATCAACGTTTATAGAGTATCAAAACACTGTGCAGTTGCTCTATATTAACTGAGCAGAGATGCAGATTACAGTGCATTACAATCACAACTGCTTGGACAATGCTTACTTATTGCCAACCCAAAGCCTCTCTCTATCCTTTCAATCATCTCTTTTAAGCATTCAGCGGGATAGGGACTGTGGAGATACCATGGACCTGAATAGTCCTAGTCATGCTTAGATTTGCCGTGTTCAAAGGGCCAAACGAAGATCCACCTACAGCTTTGAAATAGCATTCCCTTGTTGAGTAGGTGTTCATCTTGACCAGCTTCAGGCCCATATTCATGGTGGGGAACTGCCACATGGGTACAGTTGATAACAGCCGATCCTTGCTAAACTTTCCCTTGATAATCAGATTCTTCATTATGCGAAGCCGCTGCTGGGGAGTGAAAGCCTCCCACGTCTTTTTCATGAACTGATTGCCAATATTGGACGGAACAAGGATCGTGGAGGGACCCTCCAGGGAAATAAGTTTGACCCTAGCTGCAACAAGGAGGAAAAATAAAGGCAATCAGAAACAGGCTCAGCTAGTTAAAATCAAAGAATGCAGGAGAGTAAAAAGAAAGGCAATATGAAACTGACTCAGCTTGTTCAAATCAAAGAATGCTGGGAAGCTATGCTTGTCCTGCGGTTGCCATGTCCCCAGCAAGAAATCCTTACTCAAAGAGCTTACCCGCAGTGTAGAAACGTTGCGCAAAGACGGAGAAAAAGGGGTATTTTTTATCGAGGTCCTTGAACGCCGTTAAGAGCTCCCTATTCAGCAGTTCAGCCTGCGAGGTGGGCTTCCTTGCTGGCGCTCTCTTGAGCGCGACCGCATGCGGAACCACAAGCAGCAGCAGAACGATTGCGACGGAAACCAGCCTCATTGCGACCGCGAACGGTCAACACCGAAGGGATCGAAGACTCAAATGTCACCACTGAAGGGATGACGTGGAAGCCCCCAAGGAAAAGAAGCTCGGAGAGTCTGAGGATCTACTGCACAGACGATGCTACGATTACAGGGCTGAGTTTCATAGATTTAAGCGTTCGCTAGGATAGCCGAAAGACAAGGAACAAGCGCCTTCTCTGGTGAGTTTTTCCATTAGAGCGTGGTGAGGAAGGGGAGAACTGGTGCTGGACGGTGTGGGGTTACATCTGCTGTTGTCGCGACCAGGACTCGACATCGGCTCGAGGCGGCCGTTTCCGGCTCCGTGGTTTACAGTTTTATCCATCTAAGGTGCCGCGATCGTTTCGGAGAAACTACTTCGAGAGAATCTGAGATCTTGACCCAGGTTTGAAACCATTTGCAGGATTGACGCAAGAATCGGGTAACAGTGAGGCCGCTACAGATCGTACGCAGGCAGTGCAGAACGTGTCGGTGCGCGCTGGCGCGGCTTTGATGGAGAATCATGCTCCATCAAAGCCATGATGGCTCACGCTTGGGCCTCCAACGAGGTTCCTGGAAACATATCCCGGCACGGTTTCTTTTCGCCAACATTGGGAACCCATCGGTCGGACTGCGAGCCAGGTATGTCCAGCCAATGGAACGAGCTAATTCAACGGCGCCAGTAGACACTGTCATATTCGGCGCGCGTAGCGCGTTCGGATCAGACGCGCGGAAAGGACGATTGGACTTCCTCCATGAGCAGGGCAATTGGAACAACTCTAGCAAGGGATATTCTCGTGAGGCAGCGAGATGCGGTTTCATGCATTATCGTCACTGCTCCATGCAG